CAATTTTTGGACCCATACCTGGACCTCGATTGGGTTTACCCCTTGGGTCCTGGGTTGGGTCTAGGTCCATTGCCACCCTACAATATGTAAACCATTTGCGCACACATTTGTTTAGTTGGACTCGTACTTTTTCTATGTTTGTTTACTGGAAAAGTGCGACTATCCCAGCCTTTCCCAGCACCCCATATGTTTTTGTGAAAAGCAATGGGCAACATTTCCATCTGTTTAGGTATGAAAGCACCCTTGGGAAACTCATTTGATGAACAAGTTTCCCTAGGGCCGCTTTGCCATGAAACAAACTCGCATTTTATTTGAAGCTTGACATTAATAGAGCTAATTTCAAACTCCTATTTTTGATCTAACGTTTCGATGTTGCCAAAGGAAAATTCTTCAAATGGGGTAAAGTGCTTCCTAACATTTGCCTGATGCGTAAACTTGATGAGGAGACTGAGAATCATCTCTTTTTTCATTGCAATGTTGCATCTAGAATCTGGTACTAGTTCTTTGGTTTACTAAAGATCCATGCCTCTCTTTCAAGGTCGGTAATGGACATTGTTTCACAATTTTCTTTACACCACTTGCCTTCTAGAGGTAGGTAATGGACATTGCTTCACAGTTTTCTGTTCACCGCTTGCCTTCTGGAGGTTCTTTGGTTTGGTGTATTGCTCGTGGTGCGGTGCTTTGGGAAATTTGGAAGGAAAGGAATAGACGTATCTTTGATGGCGCCTTTCATTTGACCGGTTGCTAGACAACATTAAAATTTCCATTTGGCATTGGTACTCGATAACTTAGGATGGTTGGGGCCTTTGTCAAGAGGATGTCATGATTAATTTGCAAAATATGTTTCTCATGGGAAAATAGAAGATGCGGCCTCGCCACTTCTGGAGTCCACCAGAAATTGGCTGTTTTAAACTTAATTTTGATGGAAGCTCTCTTGGCAACCCTGGTTTCGGGGGTGTCTTACATAATGACTTGGGTGAGATTGTCTTTTTCTATGCAGGTCCTCTTGGTTTAGCTACGACGAATCATGTTGAGCTGGCTTCTATATTGCAAGGATTTAAACTCATTATCTCAAAAAATTTGGTTCATTATTGTATTTGTGAAGGAGACTCTTTAAATGTTATTAGTTGGTGTAAAAAGGAGCCAGGCACCCCGTGATTACTTCGGTCTCTATGGCTGGACATCATGGATCTTGTTGCTTTTTTTTCTGTTTCCTTCTCTCATGTTTATCATGAAGCCAATGGTCTGTTTCTTGCTGCTCCTTTGTTTCCTTCTCTCATGTTTATTGTGAAGCCAATGACTGTTTCCTTCTCTCATGTTTATCGTGAAGCCAATGACTGTTTCCTTCTCTCATGTTTATCGTGAAGCCAACTGCTCCTTTTTCTATTTCCATCACTGTTTCTTTCTCTCATGTTTATCGTGAAGCCAACTGCTCATTTTTCTATTTCATTCTCTCATGTTTATCGTGAAGCCAATGACTATTTCCTTCTCTCATGTTTTTTCTGTTTTCTTCTCTCATGTTTATCGTGTTTATCATGAAGCCAATGACGATTTCCTTCTTTCATGTTTATCGCTTTCATGTTTATCGTGAAGTCAACTACTCCTTTTTCTATTTCCTTCTTTCATGTTTATCGTGAAGCCAATGACAACCAATGACTGTTTTCTTCTCTCATGTTTTTTCTGTTTCCTTCTCTCATGTTTATCATGTTTATCGTGAAGCCAATGGCTTTTTTCTCTCATGTTTATCGTTGTCTATCGTGAAGCCAACTGCTCCTTTTTCTATTTCCGTCTCTCATGTTTATCGTGAAGCTAATGACTGTTTCTTCTTTCATGTTAAGCCAATGACTGTTTCCTTCTTTCATGTTTATCGTTTCATGTTTATCGTGAAGCCAATGACTTCCAATGACTGTTTCCTTTTCTAATGTTAAACCAATGACTGTTTCCTTCTCTTATGTTTATTATGAAGCCAATGACTGTTTCTTTCTCTCATGTTTGTCGTGGACTGTTTCTTTCTCTCACGTTTATCGTGAAGCCATTCCTTCTCTTATGTTTGTCGTGGACTGTTTCCTTCTTTCATGTTTAACGCGAAGCCAATGTTTCATTTTCTCATATTTATCGTGAAGCCAATGATTGTTTCCTTCTCTCATGTTTATCGTAAAGCTAATGAAGTAAACATCATATTTACTCTCATGTTTATCGTGCAGCCAATGACTATTTTCTTCTCTCGTGTTTTTCCTTTTGTTTTTTTCTCTTATGTTCATCGTGAAGCCAATGATGTAAACATCTTATTTACTCTCATGTTTATCGTGAAGCCAACGACTATTTTCTTCTCTCATGTTTTTTCTTCTCTCATGTTTATTGTGAAGCTAATGCCTGTTTCATTCTCTAATGTTTATCGTGAAGCCATTGATGTAAACATTATATTTACTCTCATATTTATCGTGAAGCCAATGACTGTTTCCTTCTCTCATGTTTATGGTGAAGCCAATGACTGTTTCCCTGTTTCCCTCTCTCATGTTAACTGTTTCCTTCTCTCATGTTAACTGTTTCCTTCTTTCATGTTTATCGTGAAGCTCATGTTTATCGTGAAGCCAATGACTGTTTCCATGTTTCCCTCTTTCATGTTAACTGTTTCCTTCTCTCATGTTTATCGTGAAGCTCATGTTTATCATGAAGTCATGTTTATCGTGAAGCTCATGTTTATCATGAAGTCATGTTTATCGTGAAGCTGATGACTGTTTCTTATTTTCGTCTCTCATGTTAATTGTTTCCTTCTCTCATGTTAACTGTTTCTCTCATGTTAACGGTTTCTTCTGTTTCTTCTTTCTGTTTCCTTCTCTCATAATGACTCTTTCCTTCTCTCATAATGACTGTTTCCTTCTCTCATGTTTATCGTCATAATGACTGTTTCTTTCTCTCTTTTTGTTTCCTTCTCTCATAATGATTGTTTCTTTCTCTCATGTTTATCGTGAAGCTCATATTTGCTTATCGTCATAATGACTGTTTCCTTCTCTCTTTTTGTTTCTTTCTCTCATAATGACTGTTTCTTTCTCTCATGTTTATCGTGAAGCTCATGTTTATCGTGAAACCAATGACTGTTTCTTCCCTCTCTCATGTTAACTATTTCCTTCTTTCATGTTTGTCTTCTCTCATATTCTCTCATATTTATCGTGAAGCCATGTTTCCTCTCATGTTTATGTTCTCTCATATTTGTCGTGAAGCCATGTTTCCTTCTCTCATATTATCGTGAAGCCAATGATTTCCTTCTCTCATAATGATTGTTTCCTCTCTCCTTTTGTTTCCTTCTCTCATAATGACTGTTTCATTCTCTCATGTTTATCGTCATAATGACTATTTCATTCTCTCTTTTTGTTTCCTTCTTTCATAATGAATGTTTCATTCTGTCATGTTTATCGTGAAGCTCATGTTATGGTTTTCTTCGCTCTTTTTGTTTCCTTCTCTCATAATGAGTGTTTCCTTCTCTCATGTTTATCGTGAAGCTCACGTTTGTTTATCGTCATAATGATTGTTTCCTTATCTTATAATGACTGTTTCCTTCTGTCATGTTTATCGTGAAGCCAATGATTGTTTCTTCCTTCTCTGATAATGACTGTTTCCTTCTCCCA